AATCATTGAATCATATAATAAAGCAATTATTGCTTTTTTCGGTCAATACGATGATTTAGACACCTTAGAAGTACAATATTCACCTCGCCCTTATTGTCAGGCCTTTGTTTTTATACTTACTACGGATAACTCTTTTCTACAAGGTCCCTAAAAATTAATGTAATTTTCCATTTAAGTTATCTTATTTTTTGAAACCGATCTATGAACTGCCGGAATTTTTAATTCTATTTCAATGAAACACAGGAGAGAAGTCATATGATTTTTTTTCCTCAATAAACTCAAGCAATGCGGAAAAATTCTACAAAAAAGGACGTCTTATCCAAGGGGAAATTTGGCCAATTTTGATCAGTTTAGCATGTTTGTTTTCAGCTTATGACTTCTAAATAAATCAAGTATTACAGTGGCGGATCCAGAAATTACAGAATGAGAGGGACAACTCTTGCCTTGACCCCACCCACCCACACACACAACACTATCAGCAGGTCTACATGTAATGCGAATCACTATTGGATGGCATGCAAGAATAGATGGCAATTTAGAACGTACATATATTTTATTTCATGATGTTAACTACTTTTATTTCTTTTTTAGAATCGATTTCTACATATGATTAAAAAAAAAATCACCTCAAAACTATATTGATGAACGCCTCCCTTGTTGAGAATTATCTAATTCATCACTGACACCCCCCCCCCCCCCAATGTAGATATGATCATACTATTTTTTCACATACCTGTGCATGGCTAAGACAATAGTGTTGATCTTTAAAAGTCAATTTCCAGATATTACAAATTCCAAGTGTGCATTTCATCAAGATAATAACTTTGTAATAATGATTTAGAGATATGTAACCTTATGTGTAAAACAAATTAATATCTAGTCACGTAAAGTAGCATGTAGACTAAAACAAAACAAAACAAATTTTACAAAAGTACCGAATAAATCATCAAATAGGAGGGCAGGCGCTTGACACTCCGGCGCTGGATCAGCCTTTGTATTGTATCAACATAATGACATCTTAGAAGGGTACACATACATATATCATGTGAAGGACTACATGTAAAAGACTGCCTTGACCTCAACATTGCTGACACTCCATTATATTCCGGGGATAAGGGGGGTGTTATTCAAGCTTCCATTTTGGGAATTTTAATCTGTATTAAACTGATCTGAAATAAACTAAATCAAATAACATAATTCACGAAACTGTGCCAATTTGGTGTTGATGTCAAAGCAACAGTCCTTTACCATTTGTGTTGTGGCGTGTTCCTGTGGACACGGAATTCGTTTTGTCGCACTTACTGATATTCTATATAGAGAATGGATGCCAATACGTATTTTTTTTTTCACCAGTGCAAGAAAAGAGATGCAAAGGTTAATTGAAAAATACACACTCTTGCAATCCCTCTGCAACAATTTCAATTCAACTACTCCCATGAATTTTCGTCCGTGCAGTGTTTTGCAAGTGCGGAGCATCTTCCGTCTTTTCTTTGTGTTGTGTTTTTTGTTTTAAAAACCAAGTTATTCAAGCTTGCTATTCTTTCCTGTTACACAAACTTCCCTTTATGTTCCTTGCGAAAAGGTTTTGATGGTTTGTTGATTATGACGCAATTTTCTTTTTAAAAATGATGTAATTTTTTAATTCCGCAAAAATAAATTGAATGACAATTATATATGCAAAGAATGAGGAATTATTGCGTTTTACTTTGATAAACAGAATTAGTTTTAGCCCCTGCATTTGTTTCCAACATAAAGAACACTCTTAATTTAGTTAATGATCCATCCTTTACTTATAATTATAAATGAATAAAAAATTTTACAGACTACACAAGCTTTACTGTATGTTTCATTTAATACCGTATACTGCTGAAGATATTTTTGGCTTGTTTATAGCTTGATACGTAAACGCGATAGGCTTTCTACGTGAATCCTATTGTGAAGTCGGCAAACCCGCGATCTACCTTAAATAATTGTATAGCATAGGCGTCAAAAGCAATTTAAAGTGAGGGGCTAATTGAAAGTGTGTGTGTGTGTGTGGGGGGGGGGGGGCTAAGTCTTAAAAAAAATGTAAGCCCCAATTTTAACGCCTATATTATGTATATCTTAGCAAAAAAGTGTGAGGTTAAACCCCCCTAGTCCCCCCCCCCCCCCGGTTCCGACGCCTATTTATAATGTGGACCGAGGCACTTCTTGGTATCGAAGATGTCGAGTGTCATCCCTTGTTTTTTATGTACATTGAAATATGATTTAAAAAAAAACTGTGGATTTCAGTGATTTCCGATTTTTAATATAATTAGTGAATTTAAACACTCAATACACAAAATACACTATCCCGAAACAAAGCCTCTTTGACTGGAAGCAATGTATCTCTATAATATAAGTTACTAAGCAAAATGATCGAGTGCGAGAAGTTTCTTGGTGCAAAACTTTCCATTGATTAAGAACCGCTGTGTTTATGTTTTACAAAAATATCTGGTCAGATGCTGAAGATTTGTAAGTGGCAGATCAACATGCGTATATATTTCTTAATCCAACATCATGACCCACCCTTTTATTTTAAAATAAATTTTAGAGACATTTTATGTCATTAATTGATCTATTTTTAATTAGTTTATATAATTCAGTATTTAGGTATGTATGATATAATTGTGGGTCATTAAATTGTATACATTGTTGCGGGATCAATGTACAGTACAAGTATATTGTTGTGGGATAGTATATAAGTATAAAGATATACGTATATATCCAAAAAAGTAAAAGAACATTGTTGGATATATACGGAGTTTAGGCAGTTTACGCTTTATAAACCGCGAAGTGGTCACCTTTTCAAACCTTCAGGGACCATTCAATGACTGAAAGGCAGAGGTTCATCCCGTGGGAGGATGAAAGCAAATACTCGAGACTATTTAGCGAGTAAAATGGTTAGTGATTGTCCTATTTTGAATTACTTGTTTTATTCAATACGTTTTAGACGTAATTTTTTTTGTTCCCAAATCTTTTATCTCTTTCTCTCACATAAATGTGTTAATATTATAAAGACATATATTACAAAAATATATCTATATATCTATATCAAGGTTCTACATGTACATGTAATGCATGTATCGGATAATTATGGGTCATTTATATGTACATATATATAGATATAGAATATTGCGGGATCAAAGTACAGGCAACTATACATCATTCTGGGTCAATATATTGATATAAAGAACATCGTGGGATATGTACAGTTGTACTTGTCTATCTATAAAATGTTAAAATCACATTGATTTGATTACACTTCCCTAAAATCTTAACGCGTGATAATTTTTTTCTGAATAATCCTTGAGTTGTACGTGAATGATTTTCTGCGACTTCATACTGACATATTTCGATCTTTATTACTTAAACTTCACGGTTCACATCAGGGTAACGCGCCTTCTTTATAGTAACATTTTAAAGTCATTTTATCTTATAAAATGATATACTTGAAGCTTTCTTTCATATCTGAATAATTATATAGACTTTAGGAAGAACACAACTATAGAACGATTAAAACTTATAGAATTATTTAACCTTATTTTTTCTAGAATTATACAATGTAGTACATAAAAAACAAAAGCTCATGCATGGCATGACATACATGTAAATAAATAATGCGTTACAATCTGATAAAGATTCACTGCAATAAGGCTATAGAATCTAGCTGTTTCCCATAATCCCTCCAATACTCATGGGGAAGTATATAAAAAATTGTGGGTCACGCGCGAAATTCTGCCAATCCACAGAGTGGTGAGATTTCATATATATATAATTGCATTGTGGGTCATTTTTTGAGTGTGTAATTATGGGTCAAAAAAATTTTTTTTTGTAAAAAATGAAAATAGTAACTATATTATTGTCATAAACAAATTTTTAGGCACATGGTTTGTGGGTCAATATATAATGACCCATAAACCATCCATGATACCCACAACGTGAGTGAAAAAGACACAAAATATCCCACAATCCGCATGGCACAAAACTATATATATATATATATATATATATATATATATATATATATATATATATATATATATATATATATATATATATATATATATATAAAAGTAAAATATGGGCGTCAAACATATGAGCTTTACCACATTTCAAAAAAAAAAATCTGAAAAAAACTTACCGAAAACCTTATTCCGACCTCCGCATAATTAGCATGATTAGGACATAGGAAAATGTATTTATTTTTAATTATTTCTATTTGTTAACCTATACATGTAACTGAGCTATTCTTTTTGATGACAATGGCAATGCCAAAGACAAACTTTAAATTCATAAAAGTTGGTGATAGATCTACTTTGAAGAGAGTAATTAAGTGCAATGATGCTGATTTTGAATTGAACTCTAGACTATCCCGGGACCAGGATTTCAATTGAATTTAATTTCAATATCTAGCTCAACATTTCACATGTATTCTGACCAGAAGATATAAGCAATAGATCTTTAATTTTAATAAACATATTGTACCATTAAAGTATATGCCTGAACCTTAAATACATTTCGATAGAAAATAAGGCATGTTGCCATTAATTTTAAAATAATGAAATATAGTCACATAGTCTCTCTCCTTGTATAAGAAACATTATTGCAAAACAATTATAATGAGATAATAATATATCAATTTAACACGACTTGGGCGGAAAAAAGAAGAAATTTATTTTGACTTTCCTTAAAAATCAGATGTGTAATTGATATGCATATAACGATCAATTCTGTATAAAGCGAATATCGAGGAATCAAACAGAAAATTAGACAGAGTCTATTCCCAGGTAAATCACATACACAAAAATTTAGCTAGACTATACTGTGATGCCAAAAATTCTGAACTTACAAACCGATTTCTTATAAATATGATTAAAAATAGACATACTGTATTATTCTTGTTTTTATAAGTATCTATACTAACGGTTATGTGGCCAATGTCAGTATTTCGCTTCTTGGTGTACGCCGGGTTGATAGTGATGGCGTGTGAGAGTTTAACAATGGAAGAGGACTCTAATGTGTAAGTTAACCAAATGAAAAAAGCTGGAATTATGAATATTTTCAGCATTGTTACTCGATACTCCGTAAGTTAAAATCATTTGTTCATTTGTAATACCTACAAATATTAAGTGCCACGGCACCGAAAAGTGTAAATCGATATTCATTATACATTGCATTATGATAACTCTGTCTTAAACATAAAAAAATATCATACATGTAAAACTTTGTACCGGGTTTTATAATTTTTTTTGTATAAATATATTTTACAAATTTGAACAGACTTGTGTGCTAAAGTTTTTTTCTGTTACAGGGACATCTGTGGATGTGTGGAACGACATCCACAGGAAAAATTTTGTTCTGCTGAAGTAGGTCAGTAAAAAAAAGTTATTATTTAAAGACATTGTATTATAGATTAATCCCCTGTATTTAATATAAAAAGGTTTGTTTTCATTTAGCGTTTAAAGGTCGTTTAATCAGAAAGCATGCTTTATTACCCGTACCCTCTATAAGGATCCGTCCCGTTATTATCAGGGACCCCGTATGGCACGAAATGAGGAAACGTAGCGCTATGTTCCCTCCCCCGACTGACCTACAGCCAGGAATGATCTCTCCACAGACTGACTTACAGCCAGGAATGATCTCTCCACACACTGACCTACAACCAGGGATGCCATTTTTACCAACAAAGAGAATAACAAACACATTCCTCGTCAAAAGGTCTTTTAAAGGGGTAAGTACCTGTTTCAGTAATTCAATGAAAATGTTTCAATTCTATGATTTCTTACAGGATACGTTGATTAAAATCAAATACGAAATACGTAATATATTAAGAAATTTCAATTATTTGTACATCGATCTTTGAAAATTATTGAATTGCAATTTTTTCATAACTATATAACATATAGACATATAGTTATGACTTTTTTACCATGGTATCTGAGAATAGTTTTAGTGTGTCCTGTTTTTAATTAGGACATTCCGAAAGAGACAGAAATAAAAGTTAACACTTACGATGATGGATCTGGGTGCCAACCTTCTTTCGCAGTCAACAAAACGTATCTTATTACTGGTGAGAAAAATTTGCTACTCTTTAATATTTTCATTTGTTATTTTCAGGTGTAGCTGACATAGACCGGTGTTGCTTCGATCTGTAACGATTGAGTGACACCAGTTCTGTAGGATTTACAATAAATTTTCCTTTCAGTCCACGAAAACCCAGCACTTGCTTGTTAATTAACGGTGAATTTTTATTTGAAATTTAAAGAAAGCGTTTGAGTCGGTAAAACATCAAGTACTGTCAATCACCCTATAACTTAGCAGTTTCATTGTTTTGTTGAATTGTACCTATTTTATTGACAAAAAGTCAGAAGGATCAGACACAAGTTCTGAAACTTAGTCTTCTACTTATACAACACTTTGTAAATTGTCAAACTATATATAAATACATGTATACATATGGCCTACTACATATACCTAGCAGTATAGAAAATAAAATCTCCCTTAAATGTACAAAATATAAATTTTCATTGAAAAATTGAGTTTTTTTTAGAAAAACGACCACATCCATTTAGAAAAGTGTGAATAATCTTGTAAAGTACAGCATTTGTACATATATGTGAAAGAATCATCACCCCATAGCATCAAGTGTACGTCAAAATGTATAAATTATTAAATGACAGTAGCTTATTCATTAAATATTGCCTTGTTTTTGTAGAATTTTTGCAAAAAAAAAAAAAAAAAAAAAAAAAAAAAAAAGATGGAGAAAATTCCATTCTTCTATTATTAACCCACAGGAACAATTCGGACTAGGTATTAAGTTGCAACGAAATTGACCAGAGCTTAAAATACAATTGTGTCTCAATCTTGTATGAATCATATTTAAAAACCTTTTTTTCATATGAAAAATATTTTCGAGGTTTTATAATATTGTGGTGCAGATAATTCTTAAAAATTGTTTTGTTTTTAAAGTTCCTTTATAGCCTTTGCAGGAAGCTTGTAGATCTACAAATATCCATAATTTCCCAATAAAACTGAAAGCTGTTTTTGATGAGATACTAAACTCGGTATCAAGTATTAGTTCGATAATTTAATTTCTTAAGGAAAATTGAACACTCATGGAGAAATGGACATTAATGGCTGTGACTGGACCGGATGTTGGAGGTATGGTGTGTCCCGGTACCAGAAGATCAATCTTAGGACGGGGGGATACAACTGTGACGTTAAGGTAAAGTTATAAAGTTCTGCTGCTCTTTTACGTTTTATCATAGTTAAATGCTATCATCAGAGGAAAGTTAAAATAAAATCGGGATTTGTCATTTCTTGTATGAAATGTCTTAGTTAATTAGATATGAACCTGTCTAGATTCGATAAAATTATTGTAATCACGTAGTGCAACTTCACATGTATATGTACATATATATGCATACATGTACAAAAGGCTTCAGAAAATTCCCTGATGGTCAGATTTTTTAAATAAATATTAGTACCTGAAGAAGTTTTCACAAATATTATTTAATATTGCATATAAAAGGTCTTAATCTTGACAAGCAATATCTTGGTATTTTATAACTTTTTAAAAATGTTATCAAATTTCAAAGAAACACATAAAACTAATCTAACTAAACCAGATTAATCTCAGGGAAAATTTCAAATAGGATTGTATTTTCTTTAAACTCAATTACTATAAAATAAAAAGTTTCAGATAGAATTGCATTTTTATTACTTACATATGTACTATTATTTTGAGTTCAGATTGAATAATATTTGAAGTACTTACCTTATCCATTACAGATCTATAGAATTCTTTGATGTTATGTTTTACAAAGTATATATATTTTTTTTCTTCCTAGATATGTCAGAAAGGTAATGAATGCATTCGTGATGCCAAAACATGTGTTTGGCCCAAGAAACACAAAGGAATGTGTTATTCAAGACATGCTAAATGCTACATGTCCAAGACATTTCAGAAGGCAACATGGGTTATGCTTCATTCTAGAATGAAACGTTGTTTGGGACAATACAGTTTGACAGCAAATTGAAGTTTTCAGGAATAAACTATAACACAATATTTTGTAAACATGTATTATTTATTATATCTATAATATAATATAATATAATAATACGTGTACACGCTGAAATAAAATGCAAAAATTCATTCGTACATGTACTTTGCAAAAACTTAACATTTGTCGTACTTTTTTTTCTTTTTCCATAAGAAGAATAATTATGCTTAATCTCCGTAAAAACAATGGAGTGTCTCAATAGATCTTTTTAGCAAGATTTTATAGCTAGAAGATTACAAAGCTATTATTCGTATGCAATATCATATTCATTCAAAACGGGCCATTGGAATTCAGTGGGATTTCAAAGAAATATTCATTTAAAACTAATCTTCTAACAAACAACAAGGCAATACGCAAACAATCTTGTGTAGATGTAATTTTAGATTTCTTTAACTAAATGTCAAATAGATCATACATGTATATATATATATATATATATATATATGTTGATAAGTTAAATTCTTGGTACAGTAAAAAATACTTAAATAAATGAAAACAGAATGCTACAGTCCAAATTAAATAAAATCTTTACTGTTAGCGCTTTCAGCCATGTTGGCTCTTCAGACAGTTATGAAATGTTCAAAACGTTGCCAATAACGTTGCTAATGACGTCGTAAAAATCTTAGGTATTATGACGTCACAATGAAGTTTGTGGTAGCGGCTACATGAACTTTTTCAACGCAGTTAAAATACAATGTATAATTAAAGCATAGAAATAATATAAAATCTGTGAACACATAATCTATCATTTGCGATTTAGTTTTGGATTAAACAGTCTTATAAAATAGTCCTCTTTGGTTACACGGGCGCTTTCATCCGATGTCCACATTTTGTAGAACGGGAAAATCTTAAATTTTCCTTTACCACACTCAGCAAAATGTTCTGAACATGGGGTGCATCTGACAGTTTCGTCCCTTATATGTTGTTTGTGAACCCTAACTCGTGCGTTGAGTTGATTTGTCTGCCCTATATAATGTTCTCCACAGGTAGGGCATATTGCACAGTAAATCAAATTTGAAGATTTACAATTCATACTGGTATTTGGTTTTAAAATTTTCCCGTTTTTAAGTGTAATATGTTCGCCCTCCTGAATGAAATCACACGTTCCACATCGGGGGTCACCACACTTTTTGACGACTCTCTGGTTGCTAGAGGAAAAACAAAGTCGCCCCTACATATGCTTGTTTAGTTATGGGATTTCTAGAAGAAAAACTTTACACTATTTTACCGGAAACCTTTGATCTGGACTTTACGCAGTATATTAAAGAGAATTGGAAAAGGTACTTGGATGATTGCTTCATCTTTTGGACAAGGAGTGAAGAGGATCTTAGAAAATTCCATTCGGTCATTAATGAATTACACGATTCAATTAATTTCACAAATGACATGAATCGTGATTCACTTCCTTTTCTAGATATACTCATAATAAAAAAACGGAGAAGATATTTCTACAGACCTATTCTGTAAAGAAACAGATACTCACCAATACTTGGACTTTCGTTCCTGCCATCCGTCACATACAAAAAGGAACATTCCATACAATATGGCCAGACGTATTTGTACCATTGTGACCGAGCCTACTCTACGCTTGAAAAGACTCCAAGAATTAAAACAACACCTGAGGCGACAAAACTATCCAATAAACCTTATTGAGGACGGAATCAACCGGGCAAAAGACATACCAATAACCAAATTAAGAAAAAGTCGCCATCCAGAGGAAAACGACGTAGAGAACATCCCATTTGTGATAACTCATAACCCACGTAACCACAATATTCTAAATTCAGCGAAACGATTTTTTCCAATATTAGAACAATCTGAAAACAAGAAAAATCTTCTGGACAAATCGTCAATAATTAACAGCAGAAGACAAGCACCAAACCTGAGGCGGATTTTAACCAAAGCGAAATTTTCCTCTAGCAACCAGAGAGTCGTCAAAAAGTGTGGTGACCCCCGATGTGGAACGTGTGATTTCATTCAGGAGGGCGAACATATTACACTTAAAAACGGGAAAATTTTAAAACCAAATACCAGTATGAATTGTAAATCTTCAAATTTGATTTACTGTGCAATATGCCCTACCTGTGGAGAACATTATATAGGGCAGACAAATCAACTCAACGCACGAGTTAGGGTTCACAAACAACATATAAGGGACGAAACTGTCAGATGCACCCCATGTTCAGAACATTTTGCTGAGTGTGGTAAAGGAAAATTTAAGATTTTCCCGTTCTACAAAATGTGGACATCGGATGAAAGCGCCCGTGTAACCAAAGAGGACTATTTTATAAGACTGTTTAATCCAAAACTAAATCGCAAATGATAGATTATGTGTTCACAGATTTTATATTATTTCTATGCTTTAATTATACATTGTATTTTAACTGCGTTGAAAAAGTTCATGTAGCCGCTACCACAAACTTCATTGTGACGTCATAATACCTAAGATTTTTACGACGTCATTAGCAACGTTATTGGCAACGTTTTGAACTTTTCATAACTGTCTGAAGAGCCAACATGGCTGAAAGCGCTAACAGTAAAGATTTTATTTAATTTGGACTGTAGCATTCTGTTTTCATTTATTTAATTATATATATATATATATATATATATATATATATATATATATATATATATATATATATATATATATATATATATATATATATATATGCTTACACATGTTACAACAATCAACAATCAATGCAGTAACATGAGTTTGCCTAATAACAATTATTTTTAATCTCGTTCCGACATCTTAATGGACAACATTGCCTCCAGATGTAACCATCAAGCTGAGGTATGTGTGTCACAACATAAAAATATTCAACTCCTGTAAAGGAAATCATTCAAATAATATATAGAGGATATTCAATGTTTTGTAGATGAATATGGAATTTATTTCACGAGTGGGACAGGATTTTTTGATATTTTCACGAGTGCGAAGCACGAGTGAAAATATAAAAAAAATTCTGTCTCACGAGTGAAATAAATTCCATATTCATCTACAAAATATTGAATTTTCTGTTTATTACAATTTCTGTGGTTTTCCCTTTGCCTCTGTCTTTTTTTAACACAGTGTCATAGGCTTGACGTCATACATGTAGTTGAGCGGTTGAGACGTCATAGCTTAGCAGTTGTGAGATTGAAAACATTACATAGCATGGATTTTAGCAACATATTTGGGAAGAAATTTGTAGTTTTAGCTCTATCAAGATAGTAGTTACTATCTCTATATTATTACAGGCCAGAAATTATTTTTACTTACTTTGTATCCTTTCACACTGTGAGAGAATATCATTTTGGTATCCTTTCACACTGTGAGAGAATATCACTTTTATTCAATAAATAAATCACAGTATTTCACTGTTGAAAATGTAATAAAAAGGTATACTACAGTTCTGCATGTGGGCAATTAACATAATTTTTATTAACCAACAAAAAGTAAGGAGTACTTATAGTTTGGACTTTGGACGTAACCTACAGTGTATATATACATACACTAGTGGTCCTGTATCTTCCAAATACATAGTGATCTTCTTTTCTTTGATAAACATTGTTTCTGCACAGTCAATTTGTACCCTTTAGACTTTATTTAAACTGCATACTAAGGATTCAGATCCTTTTATGCATGCAGTTAGAGTGGTCTGTCATGATTTTGATCTGAAATAAAATGAATTGAAATTTAGTCTGTATTCTTCAAATTATATTACGACATGAAATATTTTCTATAAATTCCATTTCCATGATTTCCTAACAGTGGTAACTGTTCGAATCATCTTTTAACTGTTTATTTTGTGTTGGTTTGTGTGTAATTCAGTCAAATATAAAATCATTTACGCACAGTCTAATACATTTTATTTTTATTAAAGCCCTCTCCATAGTTTATGATATTGCTTTTTGCTAGTTCGAGCCCCGTCTTGGTCTAGGTCTAGGTATTTTCACCCGAGCAAATTGATTGATCATCACAATAAAACCAAAAAACTAGACAGTTTTCCTTATATTTACATTTTTACCGGATCCTTGATTCTATATAAAAAAAACAATAATAAGAAATATCAGCATCCCCGCCAGGTGTATTACTAAGCAACACGCAGCGAAAAAGCATGCAGTTCTGTCACGTGCGGAGCAAATAGCTTTATGGGTTTATAAGGCTATTACCTTATATGTAGTTTTATCTCAGAGAAAGGCATTGGAAAATGTAATCTGAGGCTATGAATAATTTAGAGTTCTTATCATATATCAACATATTGCTTAGTTACTCGCACCTTCGCACTCTAGCCTTTAGGGCGAAGATGCGAGAGTGCGAAGTTGCGAAGGCGAAAGTGCGAATTTGCGAAGGCGAAGGAGCGAAAGTGCGAAGATGCAAAGGCGAAGCGCGAAGATGCGAAGGCGAGAGTGCGAGGGTGCGAAGGCGAAGGAGCGATACTAATATCGCACTTTCGCTTTCGCAACTTCGCACTTTCGCCTTGGCATTTTACTTCTGTGGAGCTCTTTATCGTTATGATCGAGTTAATTTTAGTGGGCTCTTGGATGTTATTGGTACGCATGCGCTAGATTAGTGTGACGGCGCCAAAATGGATGCTAAGCAATGGTTGAAATTCATTGTACAATGACGTTTTTACTAACGAATATACACTTGCTATTTTATGAAACGAGAAATAGTGTAATTGATCACTGGACACTCTAATTTTATATACAATGGTAGATTATATAATGTAATGATGGTAAATGATTGTTGTAATTGGTGCATGGTGCACGAGCAAAATTATAGATATATATATAAGTGGTGGTGTGCATCACAGTCTCAACTAAAGGACAGGGAATATAAGATTTTATCATGATCCATAAACTGTATAAAAAAAAAAAAAAAAAAAAAAAAGATTTGATTTTTATATCCTGGTGTAATATAAATGTGCATATATGCAGTAGATATACTTCGATCTACAATGTAAGCGTACGATAGAGAACTCCACAAAAAAGGAGAAGGCAAAAGTGCGAAGGTACGAAGGCGAAAATGCGAAGTTGCAAAGGAGCGATACTAGTTTCGCTCATTCGCCTTCGCACCTTCGCACTTTCGCCCTCGCAACTTCGCGCTTCGCCGTCGCATTTTTGCACTTTCGCTCCTTCGCCTTCGCAACTTCGCACTTTCGCATCTTCGCCCTAAAGGCGAGTGCAAAGGTGCGAGCGACCCCAACGGAACACCATACATATGGTATGACACAATTTCTCCGTAAAAATTGCAATTTTTATCCCATTCTGTAAGTTCTATGAAATTTTATTGTAGATTTTATATGAAATGTCCAAACAATTAAGGGGCTGTATTGACGTCAAAAAGGGGGAGGATTTTTCCAACATTCTATAAAGTTTCACCCCTGGAAAAACTGGTATAGACCTAGGAAATGTTTTAACAGGCTACAGAGAAATAAAATGCATCCAAAGTACTTGTTTTTAAAGGCCAAAAAATATTACAAAGATGAGAGATGCACAGTGAATGTCGATTTTTTAGTCAGGGTGTTCAAAGTTTGTCACGTCGAAAAGTGACGTTGATCATGTGTGAAACATGTAGATATTGCTAATGCTTCCTGCTCTGTAATAATAAAACCAGTGAATAACTTAATGGTGGCCCTATAATGGTACCTTAGTTCATTATACAGGCTTGATACGCTAGCAAAGTGTTCATTAAGTAGGTTAATTAAGTTACTCAAGTTTCTTTTTCGATAGGATGGTAGTATATATACATGTACATGATTCTGATACATCATTAAAACCAGACCGTTGTCTGGCAATGAAATATTATTTTAGAGGAAAATCTGCACTAATTTTCGTTATGCCATTAAAAACAAATGATGAGATTTTTTTTTTTTTTTGATTACTCGTGTAAGCTCTTGAAATCTAAGTCTACAATATTTTTTTACGTAAATTTTGATTTTCTACTATAGGTTACAATTCCGTACAATTTTAGGAGGTATAATTAAAGGGGGTGGGCTCTCGTTTCATTATTTTATACTTCTTTGTCTTCAAATAAACATTTTCCTAAAAGTAAATGACACTCTATTTTGAAAACGAAGTACATAGACTTAATATTTACACCTCTCCACCTTTAAGCGGATCTAACACCAAGTTTAAATGTAGCGAGTACATGTATTTTAATCGGGTTCAATATTCATCGTTTTTCTCATTAATGTATTTTTAGAAGCAGGAAGGTCCTTCGAAACGTTACCAAATGGAAAGTAGATAAATAGAATTGAATGGTCTATCAAAAAGTAAGAAGATGGCAAGCGGAGGTGATCATGATTTTGAACTAGGAGAGACTTTAGGAGAAGGAGCCTTTGGCAAAGTATACTTGTGTTTTGACAGAAATGAACGAAATAAAAAGGTAGGTCTAACGTATACGAGAATACCTTGGGGCCATTGTATGTTATGTATTGTATGTGCAGTTCTAATTGATAATCTAACTAGAATTTGTCTATGGTTTGATTATTAAGTGATAATAAAAACATACAAATTAATTTTCGTCGATTAATAATAGACAACTGGTAGATGTCGTTATTCTACTTTCGATTTGAAAAGGCGTGTTTCTACCTAACTTTATCGATGATATGATTTTTAATATGATAATAATGGTGATATGTTAATGATGATCTTTTAATTTTTTAGAACTTCTCTGGGCATGTTTGCTGACAAATAGTCACTATCATGATGGTTATGGACTCAGAGCTCCAGATAATTTTTTACAACAAAGTGTATTTACTCCCTTATTTTCAAATCAATACAGATTCTGCTTCTCAGCAAACTAATCAAAGAGTATTTTGTTAATCTATTGCTCTTTTAACATCTAATGTGATTTTTAGCTTGTTATCCAAAATGTGTTTTTGAAAGAGGAATGTAAAAAACGGACAGTTTCTTCATTAATCAATTAGGTTAATGAAATTTTAAAAATTTTGTTAGCTTTTAGCTATAACCGAGACACATTTTGTTTCTTTCACCAGAAAGATCATACGGTAAGCAAAGTTACCAGGGGCACACAGAACTCCATTTAAGATTAGGCCTATATCAATCGTAGCAAGAGTTTGCTGAGAAAAATATCCTTCCTTTGGCCAGATAAAATTAATCTTTAGATTCTCATCCCCACCTGCCCCTCTCAAAATGTCCAGCCCGTTGTTTTTTTTAAAATTAAAAATATATTAGGTTTTGCTATATTGGCATCGATCGAGGTAATAGTTTTAGAGTTACTCCCCGCTTGCATTAAAAGTCGCGTGGCTCTATTTATAGCACAGGAGCATGCTATAAAAAGCAAAAAAACTTTTGTTTCCATAAAGATTGGAACACTGAGCTGACCTCAATTCACATAATTAATTAAATTGTACTTGCATCATTCAATCCGTAGTACACAGTACTTTCGTAGTGTAATGCTTATTTATGATTGCTAATGCATAATTGTACGCCCTGATATAATTTATAATGCGTATTTTGAAAAATTCAATGCATATTTCTGCAAATACACACCTTATCTGGAGCTCTGTGAACTACATGTGGAGCAAATGTCCAAAATATTAAATTTTTAGCCATTTTCTTTATAGCTCACTTGAGCTGTCAGAAAGCTCAAGTTACATGTAGATTTTTCTGAACATATTTTGTTTTACATCGGTCTAGCTGTCTGTCTGTCAGTCCATCTGTAAACTTTTCACATTATCGACTTCTCCAGAATGATCCTCCAATTCCAACAATGCAGCTAGGTTAGGACTCCCATACTTACATCAACCCACACAGATTCTTAGGAAAACAATTATAATGTCACATTAAAAACAAAAGGAATGAATCTTGATGAATAAATGCTACTCTTACTTTTCATACACACTAAATTACCTTGTTTCTCACAAATAATGCAGAGATGAATCAATGCGCAGCTTAGTTATCTTGACATAGTAAGTCCATCAGAATGTAGAATATGAGCTTGATCTAGCTGTACTGACTGAGATGACGTCACTGACTAGTTTGACACACAGTTTCTCTCTACTTGAGCTGTGGATCAAACTATTATCATATCTTGTAAATATGAAAATTAAAATGAAACAAACATGATCTGACCAAAATGAAGACATATCCTTCAATAAATAAATCAATAATTTATGTTCCAATTACTGACCTTATATTAAGCTGAGTAAGGCATTAACGCACTAGAATGACAGGCACAGCCCCTCGAAAATCTCAAAAGTTCAACAATATCTGCTCCACTATAAATTATGCGTTTTTAAACGTGAATAGCTATTATCCCTACTATTTTGAAAAGTGCTGGAAGCTGGTTGTGTGCTGTTGCTAAATGTTCCATAATTTAACATTACTTCAATGGGTATTAATTATGTCTATGTGGAAAGTTTATCGAAGACCACTAAATTTTACTCAATTCCCATTGACCCAAGCATGACAAAGTTGCTCCCAGCACTCTTCCTGTAAAGGAATTTGTCTTTTAATAAATTTCAAAGAAAACACAATCAATTTCATAGCAGAAAAATGATATTCGTATATTGTTGAACTTTTATGATATTTCTGTCTATACACTTTTTTTTCTAATTTTAAACTTGTCACGTGACAAACAGCTGATGTACATGACATCCCTTAGGTAAATCTTAATTAGCAAAGACCCAATATATAATAATGGAAATAGCAGAATTCCCATTCAGCAAAACTCATGCTGTTTAAAAAAAATACCAACACTATAATCATTTTCTTGAAATATTTTAAAGCAAATATATTTCCTCTGGGCTTCCTTAACCTAGCTGCGAAAACTTACCACAGAGCATCCTTTGGTAAACATGGTTAAGGGAAATCAAGTTTATAAAAATGAAGGGCCATTACAGGCCTGACTTAAAGAGGACATGATCGAGAACAGGCAAAAATAGGCTGGGAGTCTCATAGCAGTCATATAATATGCGAATCCGTAGGTTGTGTAAATTCAAGTTTGTTCAAATCATGGTCCTTAGGATAAAGTGGGGGCACTGTTCTGAATAGAAGGAGAGCCAAGGTGACTGGTGTGAGCATTTTGACCCATGGGACTCTTGTCTAAAGTCTTCAGAACCTAAAATTTTCAATATATCATTATTTGTCATGTCAGTCGACTAGTTGAACATTTGGTATGTATCTTTTCAGTATGCTATGAAAGTAATTGACCTGACAAAATCAACAGATGATGAACGTGAACTAGCGGAAAAAGAAGCAAGTTTGCTGACAGATTTACAGCATGAATTTATTCTACATGCAGTTACATCATTTCAAGAGAAAGGTGCATTATGTATAGTGACAGAATTCTGTGATCAGGGGGATTTGTCACAATTTCTGGAAAGAAGATGTGGGAAATCTTTAGATGAACAACGAATTGTAGAGTGGTTTCGACAGATATGCAGTGCTTTACAGGTACAGTTTGAAAAAAAAAAAGTTAACATTTTACGCAACTAACCATGTTTACATTTCCAACTGTTTTCTCTGTGATGACGCTGAGAAAGTTAGGTGTGTTGATTTCTCCATAATTACAACTGAATGTAAATTTTGCCATGTGAAAGGTCAAGTGCTTAATATGCATATCAGTCTCTTGCGGATGTCTCTGTGTCTGACATCAGTGGGCGGGGACTATGCAAATTAACATGGACTACCTTGTGTATTTTAAATCTGTTAGACAGCATTTATTATTTATATAAATTTACACTTTTATTTCACATATAAATATAAGGAAATACTGTCTAGTTTGTTGGGTATGCCAACAACACCAACGATAGTTAAAAAAAAATTTGATAATTTATGCATAAGTAGACAGTGATTCTTTATTAACCAACGTTTTTACTGAACACTTCTTACTCTTCAATAGCTTGAAAACATTTCTTGTATAATATAGAAATATAGTTAATGCTTATGCAGTGTTTATTTATTGAAGTTTTTGGAACTTTGTTAGAAAGTTTGCTTTCATCATGTTCATATAAACTTTTTTTAATCAATATCTGTGCTAATGTAGGAAGAATTTCTTCCATTTCTTAGAAATGTATGTAACACATTTCTGATCTTTGTACAAATTGTTTTTTTTTTCAGTATCTACACAGCAGGAATGTCTTGCACAGGGATATGAAGACACAGAATGTCTTCCTGACTGGTGAAGATATGACGGCAAAGCTTGGTGATCTTGGATTGGCCAAGTATGTTAATTGTTTTGTTGATAAGTATGCATAAACCATTCTAATAAGATTTTAATTTAATAAGATTGAAAAAAAAATCATTCTCCTCTGATAGAACAAGACTCAAAGATGTGCTTTAATTAAACAATACAATGCTTTCTTTGTTTGTTAGTACAGGAATTAACATTGCAGCTATTGCAGAAAAAGACATAACCCACTTAAATTTTTTTCTGCAACATCTAGATCTGCAACTGTTAATTCCTGTACTAAAAAAACAAAGAAAGATATACATTTTATTGTTTAGTTTATGTCTGTATGAATAATCATATAAACATATGATAAAGTAGGTTTAAGAATGTTAAATATTGTATTATTGATATAAAACATTGTATGTTTCATTGATTGAAAAGCAAACTGCCAAAGAAATCTATACAGGTAGCTTGAAAAAAAACAGTTTCAAACTAGTTTTCTGGCATTTACTGATTGTTGAAAGCTGTGGAGAAAATCTTCAGTGGATGTAAATATTACTGTGAATTCTCTAATCAAGATTTATTTGCTTGCAAGAAATATCTTTGAGTTTCTTGACCTTCTTTTACTTGCAAATATTTCTATTTGTGAACCATTTATTTAGTTGACTATACTTTTGTAGTATTTTTTCTCAATCACAAAAATTAAGAATGGAGTTCAAACTGCCTGATCACGAATAAAAGCTAGTGGTGAATGATACAGTATCTCAGATATTGTTATCTCAAGTTAGAAGTTCCAGCCATGTTTTCTTTACCTATTTTAATTTTAATCTCAATATTTTGAACCCACAGATATTTTTTTTTTGGTCTCATAGAGTTGGAGATAACCAGGTTTGACTGTAGTTGGTTTACAGTACTGACATGATTTGTTTGGAGATAAGATTGTTGTACTGTTGTTGGTTTACAGTACTGTAATGATTCGTTTGGAGATAACCAGGTTTGACTGTAGTTGGTTTATAGCTGTAATGATTTATTTGGAAATAACCAAGTTTGACTGTTGTTTGTTTACCATATACTGTAATGATTTGTTTGGAGATAACTAGGTTTGACTGTAGTTGGTTAACAGTACTGTTATGATTTGTTGGAGATAACCAGGTTTGACTGTTGTTGGTTTGCAGTAATGTAATGATTTGTTTGGAGATAACCAGGCTTGACTGTTGTTGGTTTACAGTACTGTAATGATTTGTTTGGAGATAACCAGGTTTGACTGTAGTTGGTTAACAGTACTGTTATGATTTGTTGGAGATAACCAGGTTTGACTGTAGTTGGTTAACAGTACTGTAATGATTTGTTTGGAGATAACAAGGTTTGACTGTTGTTGGTTTACAGTACTGAAATGATTTATTTGGAGATAACCAGGTTTGACTGCTGTTGTTTACAGTATACTGTAATGATTTGTTTGGAGATAACCAGGTTTGACTGTTGTTGGTTTACAGTATACTTTAATGATTTGTTTGGAGATAACCAGGTTTGATTTTGTTGTTGGTTTGCAGTACTGTAATGATTTGTTAGGAGGTTTGACTGTTGTTGGTTTATAGTATGCTGTAATGATTTATTTAGAGATAACAAGGTTTGACTGTAGTTGGTTTACAGTACTGTAATGATTTGTTTGGAGATAACCGGGTTTGACTGTTGTTGGTTTACAGTACTGAAATGGTTTGTTTATAAATTACAGAGTCCTGGAGAGACCCACAGCCAAAGCTGTAACCTTTTGTGGCAGTCCTTACTACATGAGTCCAGAAATATTTGCCTGTAAACCATATGATTCAAAGGTATTGATCAAAAAATATAAAATGCTTGTTTTCTTCTAAATATACATGTAACCGGCATTGGGTAGGTTGTCCCAGTAGCTAAGTGGTTAGAGCACCCGCGTGGTTAGCGGGAGGTCCCTTGTTCGAGTCCCAGTCTGACCGACATTTTTCCCGGCCTGTTACATTTGGCGCCCAACGTATAAAATATACAAAAGGAAACATATTCAAATTATCTATCTATGGGACAAGGCCCATTCCATGAAACACCAAAATAATAGCGAAAGGATGCTTTATTTACATATCTTTTAACAAATACTATACACTGTACTATACATAATATTATACTCGTAATTCAAATAAATATATTCTGAGTTGAAATGCTTTATATTTAGTTTTATTCATATTTAAACTTTCACTCTTCTTTCATACAGTGATATTAGCTAAATAGACTTATTATAAAGATATAGAATGTTAATAAAGTAAATACTTACTGTCAGGTCTGGTCTAAAGGTCTCAAAGTCTTTGTCTAGAAAATCTCTCTAAATTTACACATAGCCAACCTGACCAAAATCTCTGAATAGTTTAACTGAGAACAACTCAGAACCAACAAAACTTTCAACCAATAAAATTACAGAACCCTAATGTCCTAACCTTTGAACTCTATCGCTCACCAAGTAAATAAAGGGGTGGATCTGGGATTTGTATTAAATCATAAAATCTTATTTAATTTCATTTATATCCATTTAAAACACACTGCTACACTTTGACATATCCACTGTACATGTACAAGTATTGGAAATTAAGATACTGAAGTTCCACTGTTTCTTCAATTTATTTACAACTTATATACCTGTAAACTTTGGGTGGGTGGAATGGCATATCAGTTTAAGGTATGTCACTCCAGACACCAGTTTTATCAAGGATTTTTGAGAGCCTGGTATACTTTAGATAACTACTCATATAGTATGACTCAAAATCGCAATGAAAACTTGGCGTCATTGTGGGTCATACTGATCAACTGTACGATTAACTTGACCTTTTTGCACTTAAATTGTAATATTTAGGTTAATCACTTGAACCTTTATCATATTTTACCAGATGTAATCATGGCAATAAATGCATGTATATTCTTATTTTATGTTCAGTATAATTTGAATATTATTTATTATCGTAAAAATCCTGCAAATTAATGCATATAAATTATTGTGTGACCTTTTTGCACTAAAATATTTCAGTTTTGGGGTATTAATCTAAATGGACAATATAATATTTTCTTGTATCAAGCTTTTTATGACTTAAATGCTGATTGGTTTGAAGTATGTACATGTATAATTACGAAAAGAAAAGTTGGGCCCAGTGATATAGATTTTGAGATATTGGTCAAAATATGTGATTTTCAGACAAAAGACAAAGTAAATTTTATTTGACTTCTTCAATATATCTTCATTTCTTGGCAAAGCCTGTTGATTGAATGTGTAAAATTTGTTTAAATTAATTGCAATTTACATTTATTATTCTAAGCTTATATTAACGAAAATAATTTCCAGAGTAAAGGTATATAAAAGTTCCAAAGAGTAAATTTTGAAAATGTGTAGATTTGAAGATTTTTTTTCTAAACATCCTTCCAACTTAAGAAAAAGTCCCCCATAAGTCTTGTTTCTTGAGTTTATGAGGAGTTTTTAAATTGAGTATTGTATAATTTGCATTGGTTAATTCAAATATGTTATAAAAATTGCAGCGCTAGTAATAAATAGTTTGAAGTTAGAGGTTTTGACCAAACTTTTCTCAAATGCTGACAAATGACATACCTTAAGCTAAACAAATGTACATTTGACTGTATTTTTTACAGAGTGACATTTGGGCTATGGGTGTGTGTGTTTATGAAATGGCCACTCTAGAACGACCATTTGATGCCACACTTATGCAGCAACTAGTGTTTAAAATTGTACATGGTCAGGTATGTACAGTCAGCTAGTGTTTCAAATTGTACACAGTCAGGTATGCACAGTCAACTAGTGTTTAAAATTGTACACGGTCAGGTATGAACAGTCAACTAGTGTTTAAAATTGTACATGGTCAGGTATGTACCAGTCAACTAGTGTTTAAAATCGTACACGGTCAGGTATGTACTGTCAACTAGTGTTTAAAATTGTACATGGTCAGGTATGTACAGTCAGCTAGTGTTTAAAATTGTACATGGTCAGGTATGTACAGTTAGCTAGTGTTTAAAATCGTACATGGTTGGGTATGTACAGTCAACTAGTGTTTAAAATTGTACATGGTCAGGTATGTACAGTCAGCTAGTGTTTAAAATTGTACATGGTCAGGTATGTACAGTCAACTAGTGTTTAAAATCATAAGGTGATCTTACTCTCAGAAATGATATATATATATATGCACTAAAGCTTTGTAATGAATGTTATATTTTGATGGAGAATCATTGATTGCAATGTCTAACCTCTATTATACAGTTACCTCCGATGCCAAAAGACAAGTACAGTCCTCAGTTGATTAATCTAATGGAGAGGATGATGTGTCGAGAAACAGACAAGCGGCCGTCTGCCACAGACCTCCTAAATGATGTACTCTTCAAGAATCATGAGAAACCAAAAGTATGTTTATACCAGTATATTTCAACGATATTTTACATAATTATTCAATTCAATTATTTGTGAATGAGTGGCTTTTGTTAGTCCATGGAGATCTGGGTCAGTACATATATACAGTGATCAAATTTTTGTAGATAAATATGTATGATACATGTAGGGATTTTAATGCTGCTTAAGTTGCTTTATGTGATATTTATTCTCAATGTGGGGCCAGAGTAATGTTTTTGAAGCAGGTCCATTCTGTTATAATTTTAAGCCCTTAGAAGTTCGCTTGTACAGGTATGATGGATGATCAATGCATCTAAGAATGCAAGCTACAAGCTCTAGGTTAGGAATACCTAGACAAGCTCACTTTTTAGTTCAAGTACATGTGAGCCAGTGTATGAGAAAAGGGGTCTTATGACATAAAAATCACAAAATCAGATTTTTGCTGATTCTTGTAGAATAAAACGCAAGGAATCAGAATATATAAGTTTTAATAGTATATCTTAATGATAAGTGCTTCATTTTATGGTTACAAAAGAGTGCAAAAATGGCTAAAATGTCATAATCCTGTATTTTGACGTCAAAAACGTCATATATCAACCCCGGTGAAGTTACGGTTTTAATGAACAGAGTACTATTTAAAATTGTTTTTCTTTTGCTTTAATTCTATTTTTTCAAAAAATGTTTAACAATCAATATTTGTTGTTTGTGAAATAAACAAAATATGGCATTTGTCACATTTTTAATGGAAAATAAATAGCCTAGGTAAGCTATTCTTCAGTCTGGGCTGGAGGGCATAATTCATCTTGACATCTTGGACGTACATACGGTCTGACCTTCTTATAAAGATACTGAGCTCTTTCTCTAGACATTCCGAGGGGTGCAAGTTCCCTAGGAAAATTTCCCGGAATCTGCTGAAGTCCATCTGGTTTTGATATTTTGATTTTTTTCTCGGCCGAATCACTATTTTCTTTTACAAATACAAATCCTGGAAAGTCCACATGAAATCGGAAAGAGTGGTATTTTGAAATACCAGGTAATGAGTTGAAAAAACGGCCCAAAAACTCTTTCCAACCGTAGTATTTCCATGTAGACTCTCTTCCGTTGTCGTAGAGAATACCTTTGTTTGTTGTTGAAGAATGATCAAAAACTCTCTGAAGTTCACTCATACTATCACAGTCTGTGAGACGGAACAGCTTTTTTGCCCTTGCAAAACCTGCGTCAATCAGACATCGTGTATGACCAACTACCTGCATCAGGTAAGTAATTTGATGATGCAAACCAGTAATCACTCGCCATGCAAAGTACGCAATCAAAAACTTGTTCTTGTTTTGACCTGAAAATACAGGAACAATAATTTACTAGAGAATGTTGTATTTATCTTTAAATGGCATTTTATCTTGATGTAAGTGAAACGTACAAATACTTTTTTTTATTCATGCACTCAAACATGATTCAAACCCAAATGAAAATTAACAAATACTGTCCGTATACTGCTTAAAATTCTCGCCATTTAGTTTTAAATATACAAGCCCCTAGGTTGCCTTCATACAGAGTCTATATGTCATAAATTATAATATCCCCCCACCCCCCACCCCCACCCCCGGAAATTAACATTAGAGATTTAATATTCTAAAGGCGGAATATTTATTAAAAAAAAATTATAAATGGTACTGCAACAAAATAATATATTAGATTCTTTGTGTTTAAAAAACTTACAACGCATCAATGAGATGAGGTGCTGTTGTAAAACTGCTTTCTTTTGCTTAGTAATATTTCTACATTTAATATTGTACACTGAATTAAAAGATTATTACACATAATCGTGATACGGTTTACGGTTATAAACAGAGAGAGAGAGTGTGTGTGTGTACCTGCACAATTATCAGCATGTATCAAGCACTCTTTTTCTCCATAACCATAGTTGCCAAGGCCATGATGCACCAAGGAAATAACAGTATCTGGACCATGCGAATGCGTTCCATCCAGTCCAAGTGTTTCATTTTCCCCGATCAAGTAGTTATATTGCATAGGTTTGTCGTCAACTCGAAAACCAAATATGTGTACTTTCTTTAAAGTAAGAAAATATAGGGGTCCCATCTGACGTGCATGATGAGGCAAAGCAACACTTTGGCTAAAATCAAACGTATAGTGAACTTTAGTCATATCAGAGGATAACGGTTGGTTATGGTGTTCCTGGCGATCGATATCTTGCAATTCTTCCAGCGAATCTTTAACCAGTTTTTTGTAGAGATATCTTTCCTTTTGTGCTATATCGATGTGATTTTGAAATTCTCTTAAGGCCTCTAATTTGTCTTCTTCTGATCTTGCATCAAGTACCCTCTTCCTCAGCAATTCACATTTATGACAAACATCAAATCG